TGAGACCCAAGTTTGGGAAAGGGAGGTAAAAGGATGGAGATTTCAAGGTTATCTTTGTCTGCATAACAAGGTCAAGGATAGCCTGGGCTACATGAAACCCTGTCTCAAAAAATCAAGAGAGAAAAAGTGGGAGAGGGAGGGGAACAGGGAAGAAGAAAGGGCAGGAAAAACAAAGGAGAAGTTCAGAGCCTCACACTGTCCCTCAAGTGAAGCTGTTACTGGGAGACGAGCCAGGGGGCGCTCCAGACCTAAGGGATGTGGAGTGGTTTCCAGCACTCTGACCCTCAAGGTCAGAGTCCACTTGTTCAAGCCCCAGATCTGCTACTAAATAGCTATAGAGCAAATGGCTTAATTCTGTAAGCGCCAACTTAAGCCTGTGAAAAATGAGAGCAATAAGAATAATTCCTGATCCAAAGAGGTGGGGTGAAGGTTCAACACAATGCAGTGTAGAAGTTCCCAGGAGTAAATAAATTAATGTACAATCCTTAAACTGGTGCCTGCCCTCCACCTCTAGTTACACCGGTAAGTGGTGGCTATTATTTTCATTACTATGTGTGCTGGAAACTTTGCAAGTCTCAGTGACTAGCCTCCTCCCTTTATGTGTGTGTGCGCGTGCACACATACACACACACATATACGTGCACACACATACATACACACACATGCACATACACACGCACACGCACATGCACACACACTTTGGGTGTTGGAAAGGGCACTTTCTGCTCCAGCAATGCAGTCTCTCCAGGCTATATGTGCTTGTTCCCTTGGGCAGACAGCTCCCTGCTCCCCACAGTCTCCAAGTGCCCACCCTTCCTTCCCTCTGCTTCCACGCACACAAATGCACCAGAAACCCCAGTTCCCAGAAGAACGATTTTCCCAAATTAAGTTATCATGAGTTATGTGAACCCCAGGCTCTGAGAGCCAAAGAGAGACTGGCTGGCTGCCTTGTGCCCTTTGCTTCCTGCTTAAAGAACCAAGTCCCCATAAATTTCCTCCCCGTGCTGCGTTTGCTCATTTTAAGCCATTTTGCTTCTCTTTCTATTGGAAGCAGAGAGCTGTCCTGAGGGAGACAAGGTAATGTTGTCTCGGAAGAAGTCTCAGGCCTGGAACTCAGACAGAAAGAACTAGGTTTGAATGCCAGCTTCCTCTTAACCAATTAACAATGGCTATCTCAGGTTTTTTATGTGTAAAATTAGAGTGATAACACACACACACACACACACACACACACACACACGTACACACGCACATACGCACACGCACACAGTGGAGTGGTGGTTTGAATACAAATAGCCCCCAGAGGTTCATATATTTGAATACTTAGTCACCAGGGCGTGGTACTACTTGAAAGGGATTCGGAGATATGGCCTTGTTGGAGAAAGTCATTGTATCATTGGTGGTGAGCTTCGAGTTTTCAAAAGCCTAAGAGAGGTCTTTCTCGTCCCGCTGCCTGCAGGTCTGGATACAGAACTCTTGGCTACTTCTCCATCATCGTGTATACATGCATGCCACCATACTCCCTGCCATGATGGTAATGGGCCAAACCTCTGAAATTGTAAGCAGGCCACAATCAAATGTTTTCTTTTATAAGAGCTGCAGTGGTCAGCGGCTGGAGAGATGACTTAGCAGTTAAGAGCACTGGGGGCTCTTTCAGAGGACCCAGGTTCAATTTCCAACACCCATATAGCAGCTTACAACTGTCTGTAACTCCTGTTCCAGGGGATCCCACACCCTCACATAGACATGCATGTAGACAAAACATTATTGTACATAAAATACAAATAAATAAATTATTTTAAAAAGTAATATTTAAAAAAGAGTTGTGGTGGTCATGGTGTCTCTTCAAAGCAGTAGAATCATGACTAACACATTCTCACACACACACAAACATGATCAGAAGGAAATAAATATAAAAATTAAAGACATGAAAATTAAAATCCAGGAATGGTGGACGTCCATGTCTGAAGCTCCATAGTTTAGATTAAGGAGAAATAATCAGGGATTCAAGTAAACTTTGACCACACAAGTGATTCAAGGTCAGTCTGCAAGAGAAGCTGTTGCATTAACAACAAAAACAATTCTGTTATGCTATGCTCCCCTCGTTCTGAAGATGGTCTGTCATGAGAATTCCCTTTGGGGGGGATGGAAACGGTGTCTACACCTTCCTATTCCCCCAAGGACAAACCAAAGCACAATGGATCAGTGAGTCTATTGGCTTATTTGCAGAGCTCGGGTAAGGGTTGCTTAAATGAGTATGAGGGACCTCAAAGTAGCCTCACCAGAAAAAATTTCCCAGATGGTTGATGGCTTTCCCAGAGCCACAGAGATGGAGTCCTCCCCTTCAGTTGACATTTCCAAGTCTATACATTCTAGAACCTCCTGAGACCCCCAAGGCCATGTATAACTTGGGCAGAATCACATACAGTTGGCTGGGAGGTGTAGGAGGAAGTTACTAGACTCCCTGGCAAGGGTCAACCCTCTCTATCCACTCCTTCTCTGGGAAAGAGCAACAGCCTACAGCCCACTCACGGTCGTCTCTTGCAATAAGGCACAGATGACCTAGTAAAGATGGCAACTCTTGTGCTCAGAGGACCACATTCTATACTGTGGTTCTTCTGACAAAATCCATGGGTGCTGATGGAATGACCAGTGCATTGCTGTGGCAGGAAACAATCAGTGTTTGTCAGCTGGTTCTTTGCCGGTAAGAAACCCAGAAGCCATCAGCTTTGAAAGAGAGAATGTTTCTTTTGGCTCACAGTCTGGAAGGTTCCAGTCCATGGTAGGTGTGCACTACTGCATTTTGGACCTGTGGTGATGTGATCCTTCATGGTCTGAGTTGAGCTTGTGGTGGAGGAGGGCAGCTCAAGTCATGGCTAAGCCTAAGAAAGAGGAAGAAAGTGGTGTCCCACTGTCCCCTTTGAGGACATATCCCAGTGACCGAAGACCTCCCCCAAGCCACACTTCTCTGAGGTATCCACCACTTCCTAATAGCACCAGGCTGAGGACTGAGTCTGTAACACATGGGCCTATAGGGGCATTTAAATTCTGTAATAGTTAATGTTGGTTGTCAACTTGACAGGACCTAGGAGGCAAGAGGGGGCACATCTGGAGGAAGTTTCTAGATTGTGTTAACTGAGGTGGAAAGACCTGCCCTGAATGTAGGCAATGCTATCCCATATAAGACCTAGCCTGAATGTGAGCAGTGCCATCCCATATAAGACCTGCCCCAAAGGTTGGCAGTGCCATCCCATGTAAGACCTGCCCCAAATGTGGGCAGTGCCATCCCATGTAAGATTCATCCTGAATGTGGGTGACACCATCCCCATATAAGACCCACCCTGAATGTGAGCAATACCATCCCATATAAGATTCATCCTGAGTGTGGGTGGCACCATCCCCATATAAGACCCACCCTGAATGTGGGCCGTGCCATCTCATAATAGATCCTCCCTGAATGTGGATGGTACCATCCCATGGACTGGGATCCCGGACTGAATGAAAAGGAGAAAGCTAACTGGGTACCAGCCTTCATCTCCCTCTGGTTCTTGCCAATGAATGTGATGTGACCACCCACGTCACAGTCTTGCCACCATACCTTCCCCACCATAGCGAACTGTTCCCTTGAACTGTGAGCCAAGCAAGCTCTTCCTTCCGTAAATTACTTTTGTTGGATACTTTTTTGGAAGGAATGAGAAAAATTACTAATATAAGGTTCAAAGCAGGTAGCAGCAGCAAGGACTGGGAGTAAGCAGGAGAGTGACAGTGGAGCGTGCCTGCACAGTTGCCCTGATCTTGGAGGAGGGAAGAGGCATTTCTGGTAAGGAAAGAGATTCAAGGGTGCTGTAGGGCTGGGGTGGGGGAGAGGTTGTTCTTTCTTTATGGTTTCTTTCCTCCACCCCATGAAAATGAGAAGTCACAAGCTAAGGGTGAGGAATCAAACCAAGATGAGAATATGCCCCGGAGCCTCCTGGTGCTGCCCAGAGCCACATGGTACAGTGACTTTGCCCCAGTGTGGGGAGGGCCTTCTTGAGCCAGAAAAGTATTGTGGTTTGCTCTGGCTTCATTCAGAGCTTGGGTCCTGGTCTAAGGAGAGTTGAGATTCCTTCCAGAAGTCACTGGAGAGAGAGCATCAGAGTCGAAGACAAGGGAGTAAAAGGCAGGGTCTGCTGGGCCAGGAGGGAAGTGAGGCCATGGGGGTGGGGAATGCTGAACTGTACAAAAATAGTAGGTCAAAGGGATTAAGGAACTACGAGGGGCATGCCCCTGTGTTCCAGTTTCAGTATCATTGCAGGGGAATTAAAAAACTATGGACAGTTCATTCAGTAAATACTGAACTGTTTAAAACTTAGGGGATGGCTCCGAAGGGAAAGAGAGGACCTGAGTTCAGATCCCAGAACCCATGTAAAAGCCCAATGTGGTAGTACACGTCTTCTGTAGAACATTGGTTTATCTGTGTGAAGATGTGTCCCTGTGGTTGGTTTAATAAAGAGCTAAATGGCCAATAGGTAGGCAGGAGAGACTAGCTGGTACTTCCAGGCAGAGAGAGGACTCTGGGAATAAGAGAGGCAGAGGAGCCAATGAGATATGGAACAAGTCAGACACATAGAATGGGAGAGAGGTCAAAGGCATGTAGCTGGAGAGATGGCTCAGTGGTTGGGAGCACTGGCTGCTCTTCCAAAGGACTCAGGTTCAATTTCAGCACCCACGTGGCAGCTCACAACTGCCACAACTCACAGCTCCAAGATCTAACACTCTCACACAGACATACATGCAGGCAAAATACCAATGCACATAAAGTAAATGAATTTTTTTTAAAAAAAGAGAACTGATACAACATAGATTAATAGAAACAGGTTAACTTGAGTTATAAGAGCTAGAAGGGCCCCCACTGGCTGCTCTGAAAAGCCATCTTTGCATTGTTCCTGGTGCTGCTTGGCGCTGGCTGCAGCGGCCTTCACCACCCGCCCGCCTCCACCTCCTCCTCAGCAGCAGACTCCCGCAGCTCTCTCGCCAGAGTCCTCGAACTCAATTCGTCTCGTCCTCGCTGCAGCGGATCACCGGCGTGCCCCACCATGTCAGACGCGGCCGTGGACACCAGCTCCGAGATCACCACCAAGGACTTGAAGGAGAAGAAGGAAGTTGTGGAGGAGGCAGAGAATGGAAGAGACGCACCTGCTAATGGCAATGCTAATGAGGAAAATGGGGAGCAGGAGGCCGACAATGAGGTAGATGAAGAGAAAGAAGGTGGGGAGGAAGAGGAGGAGGAGGAAGGTGATGGTGAGGAAGAGGATGGAGATGAAGATGAGGACGCTGAGGCTCCTACGGGCAAGCGAGTAGCTGAAGACGATGAGGATGATGATGTTGGCACCAAGAAGCAGGAGACTGACGAGGATGACAGCAAAGGAAAAGCTAAACTATGGCCGCCGTGATCTGTTCACCCTCCACTTCCTGTCTCAGAATTTAAACGTGGTCACCTTCGAGTAGAGGAGCAGGCCCCGCTTGCCCACAGATGACATACGCTCTTCATCAACTCACCAAAACCACAACATGAATTTGCAACAGGGGAGGAAATAAACAAAACTTCCAAGGCCCTGCTTTTTTTCTTAAAATTACTTTAAAAGGAAAATTTGTTTGTATTTTTATTTACATTTTATATTTTTGTGCATATTGTTAGGGGTCAGCCATTTTTGATGATGACGGGTGACCAGACCAGCCTTCAGAGCATTCTCTGTCCTACTTCTGACCTTACTTGTGGTGTGACCATGTTCATTATAATCTCAAAGGAGAAAAAAACCTTGTAAAAAAAAAAACAAAAACGACAACAACAACAACAAAAAAAACCAATCTTATTCCGAGCATTCCAGTAACTTTTTTTGTGTATGTACGTAGCTATACTATAAGTAGTTGGTTTGTATGAGATGGTTAAAAAGGCCAGATAAAAGGTTTCATTTTTTTATTCCTTTTTTTGTCTATAAAGTTGCTGTTTATTATTTTTTTTTGGCCTGTTTAATGTATGTGTGAAACAATGTCCAACAATAAACCGGAATTTTATTTTGCTGAATTATTCTAAAAAAAAAAAAAAGAGCTAGAAGGGCCAAACCTAAGCTAAGGCCAAGCTTTCATAATTAATAATAAATCTCTGTGTTATACAGCCCACAGGAAAGTATTATTACATTTGATGACAATGTGGGGCACCAAATGATGTTTTGCTGTCAGCTTAGCAGCTGTGCATGAATCTACTAATATTTTAATGATCGTCTGCAGCCTCACAGCCCCGCAGCCAGGCCCCTAACAGCCAGGCCTTCCTGTCCCACGGCCCCCCGCTTTGCTGGCTTCTATATGTAGGCTTAAACTAAGTCTCTATCAATCTATTTACCAACAAAAACTTGGAAGTCAGATTTGGGATTAAACACCTGCTAGACCAGAAAAGCCAAGAAACAACCAGGGTAGGGTGGAGTCTTGTGTTTACTGCTCAGCCATTGTAGCCCAAATAGTAAGACTTGCTTCAGTGAGAGACGCTGTCTCAAAGGATTAGGTGGGGGGGGGGGGCTGGAAAGATGGCTCATCAGGTAAAGGCACTTGCTGGATAAGCCTGATGATTTGACTTTGATCCCTGGAGGAAAGGTGGAAGGAGAGAACCAGCTCCTGAGAGTTGGCCTCTGACCTCCACACGCACACAGACCACGGTATCCCCCGACCCCCACTAATAGATAAACAAGGTGGAGAGCAATCCAGGGAGGTACCAGGTGTCAAGTTCTGTTCCCCACATTTACTCACACACACAGGTGCACGTATGCATAGGCCCCTTGAACATGGGTATGTGTACGTGTGCACACACAAATTGAAAACTTATAATTAATTGGAGGCCTATGATGTATCAGGCCCTGTGCCAAACACTCCAGATTTGCTATCTCTCATTTAGATCTCATGACCATCCATTGAAGCTAGTACTGTTATTGTCCCATTGTTCTGAGTCTCAGAAAGATCTAGAACCTCTTCTGGGGGGAGGGGTGTATGACAGCAGCGAGGGTTATGCTACCTCGGTGTGCTGAGTTCATGTATTGTGTCTCTCAGCTGAGTTACTCCACAGACTCAACCCCACCAACAGACAGGGGACCTGATCTTGGCTGCCCAGTGGTTGAGCTGGGGTAGCATGATGGGGGGAGGTCTAGGAAACCCTTCCTATTTTGCTGAGTGCAGCTGCCCATTCCAAGGCTACTTAGCTATAAGGGAGAGACATTGCCCAAACTTGGCTACCAGGACTTCGACTCCAATCAAAGAAAGTACACGAGAAGGGGAGAAAGGAACAGAACCAATTTATTTTGGCAACCTGAGCTCTCAAAGTGTCTCTGGTCACTGTAGCTTCCTGTCACTCACAAGTTAGTCACTCGCCTTTCAGGAAGCTCCTTTGCTGCTAAAGATAGCTTCTTGACCAATTGAGCCATGCCCCCAGCTCTGTCGGTGGCCTTTTAAACAGTGTTTATGTCACATTAATGGATTAATCGTGTGTCAGGGCACAAGTGTGGAGGTCAAGGGACGATTTCCAAGATTCAGTTCTCTTTCTCTGCCATGTGGTTCCCTGGAATTGAACTTAGTTCCTTAGGTTCAGAGGTAAGCACCTTCATCCCTTGAGCCATCTTGATGCTCCGTCAGTGAGTTTTTAAAGAGCTTATCCTGGACTCAACCAGCCTGGAGGGAAACCCTCTTAAATTTAATGCTCCTAAGAAACCATAGGCAAAGACCAAAAGGAAAAGAATTGCAAGCCCCACAGTGATTGTTCCTGGGATCGGTGTGCGCTGAGTACGGCCAGGGCCAGAGAGAAGAGGTGGAGACACAGACGTTAGGAGGCTTTCTCTCAAAGCTGTGTGCACACAGGGTCAGCTCTTTAGTCACTGGCAGAGCTGGGGGCGAGGCTCAGTTGGTAGATGGCTTGTCTAGTGTGAAGGAGGCCCTAGGTCCTATCTCCAGGCTGCATAAACCAGGTGTGGTGGTTTATGCTTGTAATCTCAGCTCTCAAGAGGTGGAGGCAGGAGGATCACAAAGAGTTCAGGGTCATCCTCCGCTACACAGCGGTGCTGAGACCGATCTAGTTCCGAAAGTCACTGACAAAGGTCAAGTCAACTGTCTCCAGGTGAGTGTTTCTGGGCCAGTGGAGAGCTTTCTATTCCAGGTGACTATTTGGGGACCATGGCATTCTCCACATGGTGGCTCTGTCATTACCCCACACATCATGGTCATCACAGGGTCAAGGCTGGGTGTAGCCCACAAGGAGGAAGAATAGGGAGGATGTGCCAGCTGACTTCACACCTCAGCCTGAGGTTTCATGCCTTCGTGTCCACTGCTGAGAAAGAGGTACCCAGCTGGCTTTCAGTCTTTGTCACACATGAGTCATGGGGTGAGGGTAGGGCAGCCATTTAACTACGGGAGCAGGAAAGGGCCACTGGTGGACAGCTAGCAAATCCCACCAAGTCGCTGATTGCAGAGAACCTAATTTCCAGCAGATCTTATTCTAACTGATACTAAAGATCGCCAAATAAGTATCTAAGGGGCTTAGGGAAAGAAAGGTGCTCATGGGCTGGAGTAACTGGGGAGGCAGAGGAGACAAGGGAATGCCGCCCAGAGGAGGAACTGCAGAGCATGGTACCAGGAAAGGGCTGGAGGACAGGGCCTGGTATCCTGTTTTGGGCTAGCTCAAGGCAGGAGGCTCACTGAAGCCCATTAAGAAGAGTGGCAGGCTTGCCGGTCAGTTGCCTGGGATTTTGTGCTAATTGCACATGACCTGTGGTCTCTGCAGGCTCTAGACTAGACTACAAGATGGGAAGCTGACTGAGGAGGGGACTCTGGGCTGCTATGGGGAAGCGATAATCTGTGCTGAGGTGAGACTTTCTGGGGTGTGGCTGTTGGGGTCTCCTCCCCACACTTCTGTAAATAATCTCTCACCCATTGTGCTGGTCGGTTTTTCTCAGCTTGACACAAGCTAGAGTCGTCTGGGAAGAGGGAGCATCAGTTGAGAAAATGCCTCCTCCATTAGCTCGGCCTAGAAGCAAGTCTGTGGAGTCTTCTCTTGATTAGTGATTGATGTGGGGTGGGCCCAGCCCACTGTGGGCGGTGTTACCCTTGGTCAGGTTGATTGGGTTGTATAAGAAAGTGCACTGAGCAAGCCAGTAAGAAGTGTTCCTCCATGGCCTCTGTTTTAGTTCTTCCTTCCAGGTTCCCAGCTTGAATCTCAGCCCTAGTTCTCAGCGATGGACCATAGATGGACCCTTTCCTCCCCAGGTTGCTTTTGGCTGTGATGTTTTATCACAGCAATAGAAGGAAAACGATGACACCCATGTTCTGTAAGTGAGACCGATGAACTCATTGGTTCCCTAAGCTGGACTTGATGGAAGACACTTTGGTTTTTGTCATTGGCGCCTTAAGGGTGGCTTAGACATTTGTTCAAATGTTCCTGCAATAGCCTGTTACAAAATAAGCAAACAAACAAATAAACCACCCACAACCATGAAGATGTTCACAACACTATGAATGACAATAAACGATAACAGCATGAACCTGACAGGGTCTTCTGAACCCCCACTGAGCAGCAGACAACCTTGGCTCAATGTGGTGGTGTAGACAAGGGTGGGTACGCTATCCCAGGCCGCGGTTTATGTTCGGGAATAAGGCGATGTTGGAGTCGCAACCCACATTTTCCTATGCTGCATTGCGCGAAAACAGAGACAGAAACTGTGGCTGAAGCAAGCAGTATGTGGATCCATTGGAAGCTGATGGCCCCTGCAGGGGCTTTATCAGCACCGTGACTGTGAGGGTAATTCTGCTGCCCGGGTACCACCCTACTCACCAGCTGAGAAGAACCGTTTTCTATTCTAAAACGTTTGCAGGAGTCAGTGTAACAGTGCCTATAAAACTGCTTCAAAGACAGCGAAGTACCACATGAAACGTGGTCATTATTTTATCTCTCTGCTGAGTGTCCGTTTCAATACAGAATGGATAACAAGATGTCTGTCTTCTGGGATTGCCGTAAGGATCTGCTAAGAGAAACTATTTAAAAAATATGAAATTAAACACGGAGAAAGTGCCCTGCTGTCTATCACCGGTTGTATAGTTGGTCCCGTAAGACACCCCCACTCCCACCCCAGTCTTCTCTTCTGCAACTGGGGATCTCATACTGCCCTCCCTATCAGCCTACTGGGAGCAGTAAGGGAGATGGCAGGAGTGAGTCCTTGGCGCGGTGCCCAGCCTTGTTAGATCCGCAGGTGCGGTGACGAACGCCACCTCCCACGGATCCCTACCAACAGCACAGCTGAGCTGTACCCCTCTGCCTCTGCTCAGCGCCCACGGTCAGGCCTGGGTGCCGGTATAATTAGCTCCAGCTCGGCTGCTCATAGCCTCTGACACGACTGTCACCTCCCACTCAGTTCCCCAAATC